CGTGCGTGCGTGCGTGCGTGCGTGCGTGCGTGCGTGCGTGCGTGCGTGCGTATAGGTTGCTTATATAAGTTTATAGCTAGTCATATAATATTGTGTTATATTTATAACAATTATTTATAAACTTGTTTGTATCTGTTTCAATTTCCATGTTATGCACCCCTGTTCATTATTTTCAACACATAAATAAATGAATCAAATGTAACAATTTCACCTATTTATTTCAAAACGTAACCAACGTTTAGTTGATAGTCGTTACAATATTTACACACTGCAATCACTAGCTGCTTGCAAGCGGGCAACACTTTTGCGCAATGACCTGCCATTTTACTCTTCTTTTTCGTCTTCAAAAAAGACAGACTATAGCAGCATATAGCATATAGCATATAGCAATGAAATTTATAAATCCAACCGAATATCTTGTATACTGTGTAATGTTTACTTCATTTATGACTACTATATGAAAGTATTATGTATGCAGATATATAATTACTATCTATGGATCCCTTGTAGGTTAGAGTGGAACCCATGGCAGTCGAGTAGGAATCATCTGCTTAAACCCCTATAGAAGCCCAGCAGATAAATGTTTAATGGTATTAAAAATTATATCACGAAGTACTTACTGCAACAATAGGATTCTTAACACGTTTTTGTACGCCAAACTTGAACGTCAAGGCAGCAGCGAGGGACGATGTCGTAGCGGCGACGTACGCAACTCCCATCTGAGTAGTTGTTAACGGGGAGTTTGCATTCCGATTTGTGTAATTCACAAGAGCGTTGAACGACTGGTTCACCCATTGCCAGAACACTACAGCTGTTGTTGTTCTGAAAGTATATTTTTATTTATTGAATATCATGATATTTTACTAACCATGACTTGGTTTGTAGCTCAGTTTGTAAGAGCGGTGGCCCCGAAATGGCAACAGACGCTGGTTCAGTCCAGTATTTGTATCAAGTATAATAATTTTGTATAGTTGGATTTTTTGATTCTTGGCTACTAATTATTCCTTCATTATTTCCTTTGAGTTCTGGACAAAGTTGCTAGAAATATTCATCAACAGCGGATCGCGCTTCTCACTCTCCGAGTAGTATAGCTGGTCCAGTGGCGAAGCGTCGATTTCTGCCGCCCGGGGCGAACCTTATATTTTCTGCACTCTCTATATTTAACCGACTTTCAAAAAAAGGAGGAGGTTCTCAATTACGCTGTATATTTTTTTGTATGTATGTTGCGCGATTACTCCAGCATTTGTGAACTGATTTTGATGAACCTTTGTTTTTTTATTGGAAACAGGGCACCACTGTATTGGTCCCATTTAAATTTGTAGAAAATATTCCACCTGTAATGGTGTCAAACTAGGGGATGAAATAGGTTTCGTGCACTTTCCGGAAAACCGATTTCAATACAACTTCGCAAATAGATCTAATTCCATGAACTATTGAGGTCGGGATTTTTTTATATAAAAATGTAATTATCGACTGTATTAGATAGATAGATAGATAGATAGATAATTCGTTTATTTGCCGAAACACAGTACATTACAAAACAAACTTACAACATAGGTACAATAGTAGAATTATATAGATTTTAAGACTTTCGTGGTTATTCACTAAATGATTATCACTAGTATCAGGTTTCTTACCACGGTATGACTTCTTTTTATTTTCCCGATATTTCGGAACGGTTGCACGCCCCATGGTCACGGGTAGACTCAACCCGTTGAGTCAAAAGAAGTCATACCGTGGTAAGAAGCCTGATACTAGTGATAATCATTTCATAGTAGAATTAAAAAATAATAATAATAATAAAAAGAAAAACAAACTAGTCTATAGGAAATGAAACTATTTTTCCGGATTTAAATCGCGTATATTTGTTTTTTCAAACAAACCGACCATGGGACCTGTAAAGGGCCCGAAACGTTTCATTTCGTATGTGTAACAATCGCGAAAACCTAAGAACTCGATAAACTAGTCTATACTTGATGTGGAGTGTTATATTGTGTGGAGTGTAGATTTGCGTGTACTGTGTCAGCAAAAAGGACCCAACTCAGCATTATGTCGCAGCTCAGTAGAACTACGACTCTGGTGATTCTGCTAGGTCCTAAATGAGCCGGTAAAAAAAAGAGAAGATTTATATTAACGAATTGAAACTGTGTCAGTGTGCATGAATATAATTATATTTATGATATTAACTGTATATGAAATATAATATAATACAAAATAATATATACGTATACACATGCACAACAGACATACACATACAATACACATATAAAAAAAAACAAATAAAAACAAACAAATAAAATTCTACCGTCATCCAAAAAATAACAAAACGGAACACAATCTAATGTGACAACTATATGCACTACCGCAGATGTATTCGCTAACTACGCTTGCTGCCAATACTAGATACGGCCTACCGTATTAATTTCGTTTTTATAACTTTATTTAAAATAACATAACATATTTTATTTTTTATTTATTTATTTTATTTGATTTTATTTCATTTGAACTTATGGCGTCTGTTTCAAATACTCGCGAAATTATTTTATTGAAAACACGTTACAGATTTTTTAGATTTAAATCAAGTGTTATCATTTCTGCTTTCATTCAAATAATTGTGTAATTTTAGTGTCTATAAAACGTTTGTCAAAAATAAATTTGTGTCAATATTTTGCACATCTAAAGGTAATGTAACAACTACTACATCTGTCTCATTCCATAAAACATCTTGATCTCTACTGCCTTTGACTACTCGTTACGTGTAAATAGAGATTTTTCTACCGTAAAATAATTGGGGCTCTATGTTCATTTAGGACATCATTTTTGTCATTATCACGATTGTAAAAGTAGTTCGTACGGGCACGCTCGGCTCTATTGTGTTTTTATGTTCGCCTGGCGTCGCCATCTTTGTATTGTTCAAGATATCGTTTTCTCAATTACTGAAATTTATTTTCTAATTTTAAGTAAAATAATAATAATTTTGACCAGTTAAAGCTCGGTCGCACTCGCTGCCGCCCTTGCTGTGCCACCCGGAGCCAAGGCCCCCCCTCTGTACCCCCGACGCTCCGTTACTGAGCTGGTTTAATGGTAAAAATTAAGGCGAATTTCAAGTCAATCAAGAGGCTTAAGGAACATCAAGAACGTAGCATATAGTAACTTGAATTTCAGGCCGCAACAACCATAAAAATCCTAATAACATTAAAACAAGATTGCGATACGAAACCCATACACGCTTATCTTTGTATGGAGTGCCTTTGTTACATCATTCGGTTTGAGACGACATCAGAGGTTCTGCGGTAAATACTGGGTGCTTCTAATGTCGGGCCTGATCCATGGTGGAACCAATCTAGGAAACGACATTGGCAAAATTGGTTTTTTGTCCAGTTAATTTTTGCCCATTTCCATGAAAGTAATTTTTTTAATCTGTTAAGAGAGGCCTATAATGCAGGGCATTACTTTGTTACTATAGTGGGATGCGTATGGAAATATTTTTTTCAGGTTGGTAGATAAGAGATAACAATTTTAAAACATTGTCTAAATACAAGTAAAACAAATGTAAAGCAAGTTATGATAATATTAAAATAAACTATAAAAGAAGGGACTCTAATGCAGTGTTGGATGCCTTACGGCGCGTTTCCATTACGTCGTAACGTTTTATTTATCGTTGGACGACTGTCGCGTTTAGCCTGTTCCCATATCACGACTATCTGTCATAACTGTGTCGTGGACGTTTATTTTATCGTTGAACGACTGTCGTGTCTAGCTGTTCCCACTAGATCGTGACGACAATTGGACTTAGTTATGCAAACTAGAACCAACCCACAAAATGTCACTTTCGAGATAATTTGATTTTTGTAAAAACAGTGTGAAGAAATAAATAGGTAAGTTATTTGAGACAAACAACGTGAGTTATGTGTAGCATTGAGAATGATATAGGGAAACTATTATATTATATAGCAATAAATGGAAAACATTATGTATCTTTTTATTTAGTTTTCGTAATTAAAACGCTAAATGTCTACAGTACTTCAGTACATGTGACATGGATCTGTTTAACATATTATAAAAAACACATTATATGAAGTTAAGCAGCATGGTTCTTTTTAACTATTAAAAAGTTACTTATTTAGGGTTGATACCCTGAAGGACTTTTATTTTCTCCTTTTAGGCTTGGTATATTGCCAGGATCTTTTGTGAGCGGGTAAAGGACACGTCTGGTGTGTTCTACCTAAATACACAACTCAATTTCACTTGAGGTGTGGGTTGGTTCTTGTTTCCATAATTATGTCCAATTTATCGGTTCACGGCAGCCGCCTTATCGTTTGCACGACAGAATCGTATGAAGCTGCGATTTTCTATCGTCACATTTTATAGTGACGTTTTATTTATCGTTGGACGACTGACGTTCTAGCTCTTCCCATTGCCACGACAGTCTGCCGTCGTAACGTCAAAAGTGACCGACAGTTAATCGTGTAAACAACTTCATTTAAATATACAAGCCACAATACTTTAAACTGCGCGACTATCTGTCGTCACGACATAATAGGAACGCGCCCTTAGAGTTCTTAATCGTATAGCTTTATAATGATTATACATATAATAATTATGGTTCCTTCTTTTCATTTTCATTTCATAGATTTATTGTATATTTTAGACTGCCCGTCTGCCGTTATGCTGCTAACAGATTGACTGCATGTTTGCAATTAATGCGTGTCGTGATGAAATGGATTTCGATAATGATATGTTTATTTCTTTAATAAAAAGTAAAATCAGCGTTTCGAATCATAAATGTTCTGAATAAAAGTAGGTACAGGGGATCCTAGTTTAGGAGCAGGCACATCTATGTACCTATTTCGCTATCTTTTGCAATAAAGTTATTGTATTGCAACAAATTACGTAATTGAAACAGTGAAAAGCATTCCATACAGTCAGTAGTCATACAGAATAAGTCATAAGAGCATTAACTGACCAAGGCCGACTGCCAAACACCTTGGGGAATTATTTTTAAAACATGCTACGTAATACGACGCTAGGTGGGTGTGTCGTGCAAAAATATTGACACGCATTCTGTTTGTCATTGCGAAGGACTAGTCAGGTGACTCATTTAGGTCCGTAATATAATAGAAGGGTATTTATAATAGACGTCTCGTGAAAGCCGAAACTGGTCTAAAGGTTGTGGCCTCCATTAAGATAAACCTAATTGTTATTAACTTAAACAGGTTCATTCCAGCCAGCCTAACTAACAACTTGAGGTGGTTGGACTTCTGTGCTTTCAACACATGCACCGTTTTGGTGCAGCTGGATATCTTGAACCCAAGACGCCGGCGGCCGGCCGACTGTGCCAGTACCGGGGTCCATCGCCTCTCTCATTTAAAACTCAAAATATATGTTTTTGGCCATGGGAGAGGCGACAGATATCCAAATAATAAAAGTTATATATTTCGGACATAAATAAAAGCAAGTTATATGTACGTACCATAACTTAAAAACATGTGTGAAATTGCTCAAGATAATGACAATAATGATGCAAATGGAGGAAATGAACGAGGTCTGTCAGGAGTGAACAGAATGAAGTCCCTACCTTTGGGAGGTAGGATTGATGGTATGTGGGTCATTCTTTAGGTTAGTCTTCTCTGCCTAATTAACGTGGCAATTTTGTTATGGTATCGTGAAATATTATATAATATTCTATCACAACAGCTCATTATTGTTTAAAACACAATCTTGTGACGATAATTGAAATGTGGACGAGGATAGTACAGGTCACCATAAAAGATGCCAATTCATTCTGACCTGAATATTCCAGGTTTCCGCTTCTCTTCAGTGATTCCTTTTGTATGGAAATTTCGAAACATTTGAACCGCGGCGCGATATTTTGTGACGTACAAATTTGAACTTTAGCCCTTTCTATTTATCCGTTTATTATGTTTATCTTACCTTATCTTAAATGTAATATAAATATATATAATATAATAAATAAATGCAGATTCAAACACTGAAATACTTATAAATAATAAATACTCAGACATATCTGTTTATACTAATAGTGTAAAGTAGACTTATGTTTAATGATATTGTATGTACTAGGAAATGAAACTATTTTTCCGGATTTAAATCGCGTATATTTGTATTTTTTCAAACAAACCGACGTTTCCGGCCCTTTACAGGTCCCATGGTCACGGTTGACTGGGACATGGGACCTGTTATGGGCCCGAAACGTCGGTTTGGTTGAAAAAACAAATATACGCGACTTAAATCCGGAAAAATAGTTTCATTTCCTATGTGTAACATCGCGAAAACCTAAGAACTCGATATTGTATGTACTAATTAAATAATCAATTTGTCGAAAATTGTTGTTCGTTAAAGAACGAAAATGAATTATTTTACAACATAGAAGATAAAATTTGGAAATAGTAATATGTAAATAACTTATTTTTGTTAAAAATGTAAGTTGTTCTGTATCTATTACGATGGCAATTTTTAAATTAGGGTGAATGCTGTAGAAATGAGAGCTTTGCGTAATATGTGCGGTGTTAGTATTAAAGATAGAATGCCCAACAGATTAAGAGAGCGTTGTGGTATGAAAGATGATGTAGTGACCAGCATAGAGAGAGGGATGCTTAGATGGTTTGGTCATGTAGAAAGAATGAATGTTGGTAGAATGACGGCACAAATGTATAGAGCGAGTGCGGATTGAAGCGTGGGGAGAGGTAGACCTCGGCGAACATATCTCAATCAGATTGAGGATGTCCTTAAAAAAGGCCGGGTTATAAGTACCAAGAATAAACGAGCATCTATGAAGAGATTGATGGCAGTAGAGGAGGCGAAGGAGATTTGTCAGGAGCGTAGCAAGTGTAGGTCCATAGTGCCCGTCTACTCTAGTGGGAGACATGCGTGATGATATGTATATATGTATAGGGCTCATATTTCTTCCAAGTTACTTCTTGGAAGCCAGTATTTTGTTATACATCTAATATTTTTTTATAAAACCACGTGTTTAGCATCCTTCTGGGGATAAGTCTAGCTTTCGAAAGACTTATTCGTATTGAATTAGTTTAAAGTGCACGAGTCTCTGCTAATATGAAGGTAATAGGGTAATAGCAACATTCTAGGTTTTTTTTAAGCGGATTGTTTTTTAATGCTCTAACAAGCTTGCTAACAAATGTTTTATATGAAATCTTAAAACACTAAAATGCGTAATTATTCTTAGTATATAATTTCAGCTTTTACCCAGCTTGAATATTATTTAGTTTCTAAAAAAAGGTTATTATTTATTACAACAAAAAAATTAAAGGTTTGCCTGGATGTTGTGACAAATTGGGAAACTGTATTGTGACTAGCAACATTGAGAATAAACGTTCATTATATAATTCCAATTGGTTACATTTGTTAAATGTAAAGACGACGAAGATGCCAATTTAACGTTGCCATAATAAAACCCAATTTTTCATTTTCTTATTTTTTTAGTTTTATAATACTAAGTGACGGGACGAACATGTTGTGCGCCTGATGGTAAGCTACACGCCTGTCCATAACAGTTGCAGTGTAGTCGCAAAGATCTGAGGGGCACTGCCACTGCGCCTGTCACCCTGAGACATAAGTTGACAAGTCCCATGTGCCTGTAATGTCACCAGCACCCGTAACCCTTCAAAACCGGAACGCAGTAATGCTGACATTACTGCTTGGCGACAGAAATAGGCAAGGTGGCAGTACTACCCTGGACAAACAAGGAGTTCTACTGCTACAAATATTATTATTTAGTGCCATGAGATTCTAATACACATAATTTACAACGTTATGTTCTTACTTGTACCACTGCAACATAGCACCAGTAATTAGACATCCTCCGGGCATCTGGAAGGACATTCTTCCAAATACATTTTGCAGTTCTCCACTGTCCGGATGAAACGCTGATTCGTATAGCTGTTTCGCTCTAACTAAGTCCTCCCATTTCGTGTTTGGCGGTTCTTTATTTTGTCTGTAGAGGAAATAAGAATGTTTAATCAGTCATGTCAATAACTTTACATTAGGCGCAAGGAAGATCTAGCCAACCAAAACGCGGCTATGTGACAAAACCATTTTTTGAGATATCATAATAAAACATAACCCAGTTTTAAGGTCTATACACACATATCCGGGCCGTGCCCGGGACGTGGACGAGCCGTGCTCCGCCAGAGGCTCAAAAAAATATCGTTGCGTACATTTTGTATGAACTCGTTCACACATGTCCGTGTCCTACTACAACTAGCACGCCCCGTCCACGTCCCGGGCACGGCCCTGATGTGTGGACAGTCCTTTAGAATATTGAAAGTAGTTATTGATATTTTAGCTATGCATCATTACGGTAAGTTCGGATACACGCTTATATGTATAAGTCCAACACGTTCAGTTAGTTTTAAACAGAGAATTTGGAGCTCTATATTATGCTATTTAAAGCGGATATTTGACCACTTGTCACTAGGTCGCGTTATAGTTAATGGACGGAAATGTGCAAGACTAGAGAACGAATCACAAAACAATTTAGATAATTAGGAATATAAAATACGCAGATTTACAATAAAAGTAATGTAAGAGAAGCAAAACAATCGAATGAATGTACCTATTAAAAAACTTCCAAAGGTAAACTAGGCAGATGTTGATTCCCACCACCAAAGAGCAGCATTTTTTAACCGACTTCAAAAAAGGAGGAGGTTCTCAATTCGACTGTGTTTTTTTGTATGCATATTACGCGATAACTCCGGTATTTGTGAACCAATTTTCATGATGCTTTTTTTGTTGGAAAGGGGGTACTTCCATAGTGATCCCATTTTATTTTGAAGAAAATCATCCACCTCTAAGGGTGGCTGTTCACGCATGAAGATTCATTTTTATAAATAGCGCCTTAACTTTAATTTAGGAGCAATTATTTTAATGGTTGATTTTGCTATTTCTCCAATTCATGGCGTTTTTCTCTCAATATACTTGTGAGTAGTGAGAACCGATTTTTATTATCTCCAGTGTCAAGTCCTGTATAGTGGCGAATTATGGGATATTTCAATAAAACTTAGCAAATAGACGTAATTCCACGTACTTTTGAGGTCGGTTTTTTTTAGTACTCTGTACTGAGATTATCTTATTTTACTTTTTTCAGTCCTGCACATTTACGGGCGCAAAATGGTAGTGACCTTTGACCTCAATTAACTCGGGTCACAGACTGAATTTCTAAATTCCGACTTCGTCACGACTATAGAATTCTATTTTTTTTTCTTTTTTTTTTTCAGAAATTGAGGAATTTCAATAAATGCAAAACAATGTTCGAACGTTCCGCTCGCTGTCTTTCGATTAAAAACAAGTTTTTTTTCTGTTAATTGACAAGTAGAGACTAATTTAAAAAATTAATATTATGTATTGATTGTAGTATTTTTAGTCTCTATACTTATTATTATTATTATTATTATTATTATTTTATTTAAACACAGTTTTATGGCAATGAAATATCATTGGATTGAGTGGTAGTAATAAAAGACGTATGTATCTACCTATAATACCTATATACAAAAATAAGTTTTCAAATATTACTTTTTTTAAATACCAAGTGACGGGATGAACAAGTGATACGCCAATACATAGGAGTTCCAGTGGCACTCAGAACTTTAAATCGTAAAGATCTAAGGAGCACTGCCACTGCGCCCGGCACCCTGACACATAAGTTGACAAGTCCCATGTGTCTGTAATTTCATCAGCACCTTTTAAAACCGAAACCCAGTAATGCTCACATTTAGAGATGGGAAAACCTGCTTATTTTTTGAAGTTAAGTACATTGACTTACAATTATATGGACGTCGGGTCCGCGCTAAAAAGTGTCCGCACTTGTAAGGCGCTAAAATCGTATACAGAGCGCGACACTCCGCTTTAGTCTTCAGTTGTTCTACTGACAGCGCGATACTGCGATGACATTACAATTTAAATTTCGAATAGGTTGACTTGGGACATTTTTTTCGTGGTTTTTGTATTAGACCCGTCGTCCATTTATTTGTAAGTCAATGGTTAAGTAAGTTAAGTTTTAAGTTATGTAAGTTTATCTGTAAAACACGAGTTTTATTTTTATTTATAAAATTATTATTCACATTGACGAATTAATTTGTTTAGGAAACACACTTTAAGGACTACTGTAAGAAAATTGAAAGAGCACCGTGTCGTGATGTTTCATCTTTGAATAATTAAGGTTATTTCTTTGCTAAAGTAGCTAGCCTTCTGGTCATAGGGTGCTTTAATGTGCAAGACTGAACAAATTTAACTACCACACAAACTTTACTGCAATCTTGTACTTTTCCATTGTAGTTCATCAAATGAATATGAGAATTATTTTTCTTACAGCCTGTATCTTTCTTTTTTTTAAATGTCAAGTGACAGAACGAACGAGTTGCGCGCCTGAAGCTACACGGCTGTCCATAACAGTTGCAGTGCCACTCAGAGCATTAAATTGCAAAGATCTGAGGGGCAATGCCACTGCGCCCGTCATCCTGAGACTTAAGTTGACAAGTCCCATGTGCCTGTAATTTCACCAGCACCCTTACCCTTCGAAACCAGAAGAAGAAGAAGAAGAGCTTTTCTGCTACTAAAATTACAAACATGTATTTAGTACCATTGACTGTGTTTATTACAAACAGTAAGTACTATTCATAAAATTATACTTACTGGTACTTTATATATAAATCCTTAGCAGCATAAAGTTCTTTCTCACTCGCCAAAGATAGCACCGGGTTAGTAATCAACCAGAAATGCTTGAAGCGGCCCGTAAATGTATTCTGGTCCCATAGAGGTTTGGTAATGTCTATTCTGTGTTCTGTCGCCATTGCCTGATACAAAAAAAAACTTGAAATGTATAAATGTTAAATAACTTAATGCACTACCTACATGTAGTTATTAATTTTCCAAGAAATTATTGTTAAGCACAGTCTTTTCTTATTAACAATAGAATTCATTTATTACAATAATATGAAACTATCAGAGCAAACAAAAAACTTTCACACTGCATGTGGGGCTGACCAAAAGCCAAGTTATGTTGTTGAATGCAAATTATTAAATTATATTTAGTTACAAAATAATCAAATTAAAAAATACTAAGGAATATTGATTTTTTCTTTGGGTATTATACCTAACTATATGTATAAGAGTATGTAGGGTAAGAGCACCAGTAGCCAGCCACGATCCTGTAGTCAGCCTTTTTGCGTGTTTAATTGCTTATAAATAAATAAGCGGTATTTTTTGAATTAATAAATCGTAAGTTGATAAAATTAAGCTTTGATTCCTCATTTATCAATACAATACGCGACTAGTGCGATAAGAGGTCAGGAGCAGAAATAAACTCGTCTAAACAGGTGCCGTCAGTCGACAAGAGCCGTTGTGACATGTCCGCCATTTTTTTCTCAGCAAGTGATGTTCTCATAACAGGTAAGAAAAGTTATGTTTCGATGTTAAAAGTGACAGTTTTTTCTCCACTTGTGTGTTAGTTTATCTATTCAATTTCATTAATACTGTAATAATCTATCTATTGGAGACTTTGCTTTTTATATGAAATCCAAAGCTCAGCCTCCAGGGGCCGCTTTTCATGACAAATCATGATAAAAATTTTATCGTTAAAACCGTTACAATAAAATGTTCAAATTTAACTTAACATTCTCTATACAATTTTGTGAAAAACCCAGTAGTCAGCACCATTTGAAAAAAACTTTTTAATTACACCAAGACCGATACACGCGTATCCCATATATCCGTTGATTTTCACATTTAATTATTGTTGATTTTGATCTTATTATTATTGAGAAGTATTAAGGCTGAGTACAGGGTACACAGGAGGCTGTTTATTGGATTTAGAGGCTGACGACTGGGAAAAAGTGCCATTTTTTCTTTAAACCTAAATATAATATTAGTACAGAAGATTTTTATTTGTTACATTATTTATATTGAAACTATAATAAATGATTGATCGAACAGAGTGGTACATTTTTTATCCGACCTACTCTGTACAAATAACTAAGATTTTGAAATTGAAATTCCCGTTAAAAGACTGACTACAGGTGCCTTTACCCTATTTACTTTACTTATTTACAACTCCAGCTACAAATTTTTGAACACTAAGTAGAACTAAATGCGTAGTAAAAAAAGCTCACACTTTTTTTACATAGATCTAAAGGCATTCCCTATTAAAAAAAAAAGAAAGATTCTAAAAGTTTTTAACATTCAAAGAGTTTGGAACAAAATGCTCAGTAGTGGGCCACAGACATTGCATTGTTCTTTTATCACTTCGGAGAAGGTCCTTGCAGGAAAAAAGGCAGGTTTTTGAAGTTTTACTACATCAATTTTTAGTTTAAGTTATTACTACTTATTACATATTGAGTTTCAATTAATTATTGTTACTTGTTTCAGCTAATGGTTCTACATTCAACGCTCAACAAATAAATAATAATAATAATAATTCCTTAAATAATAATATTAATAACAGTCCTTGAACCATAAACAAATTTATGCTATACTTTTATTGTGGTTTAGAATTTTAATAAATCTATGACTCTCCAACTACAGTCATAAAAGCTTTAATATTTTTGCATAATAATCACTTGATAAAATGATTCTCCATGCTTTATTTTTATTGTTGCAACAAAATGTGAAGACCTTTGAAAATATTACTTAATTTTGTGTTGATGGCTTTTCCTATATACTATATGGTGTCTTTTTTTTAAATATTTTGGCAAGGTACTTATGAATCAATTAATAAATCATTTGAAACAAAAAAAAACACCCAAGTTTAAGTCCTTAACAAACAGTCTCAATAAATCAGAGGCCTTGAGTTTACATTTCAACATAACTCATACATATTACTTTGCAAAAACAATGTTTTTGTAGTAAATAAACGGATTATGTAAGTTTTCAATCCACCACACATGCTATTACAATTTCTGTAATAAAACTTAACACACATAATACTTACGGCAACAACTATATAATCACAAAGTTATCAGATAAAAGTTGTAATAAACAAAACCCACTGCAACGCGAGGTATGCCTCTACCTCTGGTCAACACGACACTACCTCGATTACTATCTGAGTAGGTGCTGCAGCCGCATCCATCCTTTCCACACCAGAGGCAAGGGAGGGTGGGACGGAGGACGGAGGGCGAAGGACCCGGCGCACGGGTGAACGTGAGGGAACCGAACTAGAAACAAAAATTACTTGTGCTGGCGAATTGTCAATGTTGCAAATGCGTTATTTACAATTATTTACATCCGTATTTTAATAAAATAGCTACTTCGACAGGTGAGTTCAGGTGACAAGTTGTGAGGGAGAAGTGTCATCCATAGATAAGAATATTATCTAATATAAGTTTAATATACAAAAGTACTTTGTGAATTATACTGGGTATCAGTCATCATCACAGAACACTTTAGGTATGTACTGAATCAACTCAATTATTCAAGAGTCATTGTGTGTTCCTTTTTCAAACTAATAAGACATACGTTCCTTTATTTTTTTAACCATGACCTCTGCATTTTACCCACTGTACCGTTCGATCACAGAATGTTATCGTTACAAAATACGCAGTTATGATTGCCAACTCATAAAAAAAGCAATGCTTTGTTTGTTTTTATGTTAGAATCAATGTTGGAATATCCTGTTATAGCGTAGAAGAAATAAATGGTGTGATATAATATATAATTTAATCAATGTAAAGAGTCTAAAAGTTGGGCAATTGGAATATTGAATTTAAATGGCTGAATACTGCTCATACTCATGCGACTAACTATGAAAAATACGTAAACTGAAAAATTGTCTATGTAGAATATGGCGGCTGAGGTTGCAACAGCCGATATGACGATTCAAAAGAATTCTCAGATTTTAGTGAACGTGGAAGAAGCTCTCGCTGATTTATTAGTGGTATCTTATTCTGCTGAGGATAAAAAATTCCAAGGAGTGCTTCTGGACTCCAGCAAAGGGTTGGTATTGTAGTTTAGGGGTTTAACAGTTTATCGATTATTGCTGAGATCACCTAATATTTCGGCTTTGTTACTCGTTCTTTTGCAGTAATTTGCCTTTTGGAGTGTATAGTTTGCACCCAGCGTTCACCAGACAGTCTGCGACCACCGAGGAGAAGGATGAAAAGCTACATTCCGTTAGTCAAAGGTACATTTACCAAGAGCCTCAATATGCGAATGAGTTTGTTTCCAAGTCGAAAAAGCCTGGGCCGAAGGGCAAACAGCAGCAAAAGATGACGGTGCGATTGCGACCACGGAAGGTGTTATGTTCAAACTGCCAAGGAATATGTAACGAGAACAGCGAAAATGTGGACGTGTCCAAAAAACGCAAATTAGATTCCGATGACGATTCGCCTCTAGAGAGTTCTGAGTCAACCAAAGTCCACAAGAATTACCTAATGGGCAGTATGTTAATCCCAAAGCTTTCGAGACTGCAACCGAGTGAAATAACGAGTGCTATGAAAGGTGGATCGCGGAATTCAAATAAGTCTAGTGAGAAGCACATTAAAACTGAAGGTGAAGGCACTGCACCCAAAGAAATGGCTTTCGTGAGTGTATCCGATGACAATGACTGTGATAAAGATGATGTTTCGTTCAATTCAATGTTCCAAAGTGCACGGACTTTGAAAATTTGTTTTGGAGAAGGAGAAGGCACAGTGGTGAAAATACCACCATTAACTGGTGATTTTAATGAAGACTCAGGTGTGTCATGTGACATGACGAAACCTGATATGAAGGCTGCTAAAAAGGCCTTGAAAAAAGCTAAAAAGCAGGCAAAGAAATATAATACTATAGGTAAAATATCACCAAAACACATAGGGGCTTTATCACCTCGTAACAATGTTTCTAACAGTCCCACATCTGATCCGTTAGAAAAGAAACATAAGCATAAAGTAAAACATAAAAAGAAAAGCAAGCTACAGAAAAAAAGAGATGAAAATACAAGTAAGATGGTAGATGGTGAATCTATTGACTATTTTAGTGATATTAAAGAGCACTGCTTAAAACAGAAACTTTCTATAAGCCTGAGAAGGCTGAGTAGTAACTCCTATGAACGTAGGAGCGAACAGGACAGTGGATCGGATTGGGAAAGTGAAACTGTACCAGAATTTCCTGCGAATGCCACAGAGGGTGCAGGAGGACGGTTACTCCGTGTTTCTCCAGGTGACATAGTATGGGGTAAAGTTATTGGGTTCCCGTGGTGGCCAGGCCGAGTTCTGAGTGTCACTCCTACATCCAGAGCTCATGTGGCATGGTACGCTTCAACAACATCATCTCTAATGCCGTGTGACAGCCTTAGCCCATTCTTAGAAGATTACAAGGTAATTTTTTTTACATTTTCCTTATTTTGAACACAACTTGTTTATTACTAAGATAATATAGTTATTTCTGCAATAGATTTAATTTGTGAGAAACAAGACACACAATAAATTTGCATTAAGTCTTATCAACAATCTTATTATATATCGAGTTCTTAGGTTTTCGCGATTGTTATACATAGGAATGAAACTATTTTTCCGGATTTAAATCGCGTATATTTGTTTTTTCAAACAACAAATCTTATTATACTTACTTTTAAGCAATAATATTTTGAAAACGCTCTGAATATATACAGAGTGTTTTCTTTAAATGAGACAGTATGGGGAAATTCGAAACCATAGAAGATACAAGGAAACTGTCTTAGGAACCATAAAATCTTTTTTTCTGTGAAAACAATTTTGGAATAGTCAAGTTTTTTGTCAAGCATGAGTTGACCATAAAAATATGTGATGCGAGTCATGAAAATTTTTAATTTTTTTTTGTTTTATGAATTTTGACCAACTTCTGCTGTTCTGATTTTTTTCGTCCTGTACAATAGACCTTGCATAAGATCAACACTAAAAAATTTTTGACCAATTTTATAAATTTTTATGGACAACTCACACTTGACCAAAAAATTTACTAGATGCCAAAATAGTTTTCAAAAAAAAGACACGTTCTTGAGACAGTTTCTGTGTATCTTCTATGGTTTCAGATTTCCGCATACTGTCCCATTAAAAAAACACTACTTCTAATTTATTTTTTTCTGTCTGTTAACATACTACTCTATGGTTATACATAATTCATAAGCCAACAGTATAGTCAATATATTTGAAGAAGAAAGCCAATAATATTTATTTGTGTATTGCTTTTTTTACACATCATTGATTTTTAACAATACTTCACAACAACTGGGAATTCTCTTGATCAATAATATGCTTGAGAATACGTCATCAATGTTTACTAAGCACCGTCACATCCGCATACCTAAGTCAGCTATTATAATTTATTGTTGGCATACTTTGAATGTGTATATCACTTCATCAACTCGAATTACTACTAGCCATCCTAATAGGATTCTTTTCAGGACCTATGCAGCCAAATGTCCCTACCACGAGTATTTCCATCTGTTGTAAACACCTCTAATTATATCTCAGAGCCAAAATGTACATATTTATAGAAATGTATGGTTTTCAGAGGTCTAACTGGACTCATCCATGTCAGATATATCCGACTAAGCAGAGATATGCTAATCGTAGGGCAACATTGGCATACAAGATGCATATATGTCTCTTATCAGTATGTGCATACCCTTACGAGTAGCTCGTAAGAACCGCGACTAGCATCCAGAGTATATTTTTATTTCTAGTCACTGTCAGCCTCTGCAGTGATGAGTTGATACTGTGGCTGTAATTCAGGACCCGATCCATATTAATAATCTACCATTCTTTGTTAAGGACCTTTGCGAAATAGTATTGTTTGCTGACGACACATCCTTGTTTTTTAAAACAGGCAGACTACAACTATGACAATATTTACGATACCCTCTCAAAGGTAGTTTATTGGTTTAATGCTAACAATTAATTGCTCAGTGCCAAGAAGACAAAGTGTTTTAAATTTGAATTACCTAATGATTAAATTTGAATTACCTAATAATCGACCCTTCGGCCGCGTACGAAACCGGAGGCTATAATCGACGAGTCCAATCATAGAAGTAAATGTTGAAAAGTTACACCTTGTTAACTAAGCTTTGTTAACAGTCACTCCCAAAAAGACTTGTAGGAGTGACCTTAGATAGTAAACAATCGTTTCCACATATATCTTCTTTAGTCATCAGATTAAGCTTTGCTGCATACGCAGTCCGTAGAATACGTGAGCTTACCGATGTTGCTACTGCTAGACTAGTTTACTTACTTCCATAGTATAATGTCCTACAGAACTTTCATGTGGGGTAGAGCGGCAGATGTACAAACCATATTTGTGTTGCAAAAACGAGTGATTCGTTCTGTGTACCGTTTAGGTTCTTGGGTTTCTCTCAGAAAAAAGTTTAAGGAGACTGGTATCATGACTGTGGACATGCATCACAGTACATTTACTCAAATATTTTATATGCCTAATAATAAAAATATACCTAATTTCATTAAGAAAGTTGTAAGTCAAAATACCATTTTTTACTTTTTAAGTTAAATTTAAACTTTTTTATGCATATTGTAGGTTCCATATTTAAAAATAATGAAAACACTTAGTGTTATGTTTACTTCCAAACATGGAACCTATAATATAAATTAAAAAGGATAATATATTTATATTAAAAAGCAAAAAATGGTATTATGACTTACAACAACTTACATGGGAAGTATCGAGATGTCCATAATATTAACCTTAGAACTAAGTCCAAACTCATGGTACCACGAATCGTTTAGCTAAGGCAAGCAATTCTTTTATGGAGAAGTGTATACGTTTTTACAATAAGATTCCGGAGCATATATTATTATTTCCTCGTTCGCTCCATTTCCTAGTTTAAAACTTACGTTAAAAGTATTTTAATTGAAGAGTATGTGTTAGATGAAGATGTTTGGAAAGACAACATGAGTCTAGATTCCACACAATTATGATTAAAAGTGTATTCCATAGCATTATTTGAAAAGATAATCCCTAGAGTTTCTTGCTCGTTCTTCTCAAGGAGGTCAGCGTAGTGAACGAGCAGTAGCTTAAAAATGACGTTTTCAAGTGTAAAATTTTAATAAATGATTATTTGACTTTGACTTCAGGGTTCAAGACCATTGGCTTGTCTTGATCCTTAAGACCGAGCTTAGTCAGGCTCAAGGCTGATTGAAGACTTCTTCGGCTTTGAACTTGTAAGCTTATGTGCTGCCACATTGTCCTCTATTTCTCTGGCATAAAACCACTACATAACCGCTACTCTCTAAGTTTGATGTTTAGGGGACTCTGGCCAAAGCATGAAATACAGACAGAGTCTTGAGTTAGCTTTGTTTATTTATTTAGACTTGCTACTAACAACAGATTATTACGCCATTTAGCCGGTAGGTTGGTGGTTATCTGTACTATGCTTGCCTAAATAATTCTGTCCACCTAGTGCGTAACATCCTTTACAATCCTACTGTCAATTGATTTGAATTGATTGATCAAAATGCAGAATATGTATGTAACTCTATATTATCTAATGTTGCAGTTGCGATTTAACAAGAAAAAGCGTGGAGCATACAAAGAGGCTGTCAAACAAGCTACGATCGAAGCAAAGGTAAATGAATCTGAAATGGAGGATCCACTGGCAAGCCCCACTCATAATTTGGCTACAATGTCACCACGTCCAATAAATGTGTTTTCATAATTTGTGATCATGAGGAATGCGACCGAATTTATATAAACATTGTGATATTTCCGTGAATTGTCTGCACAAAATAGTAGATTTTATTCTGTTAAAGAATCTTTGCCTAGCCTACCATGTGTAACCGTCATCATGCATTAAACTTCTTCAAGTACAGTACAACAGTACTTTTATGTGAAGGCCTACTGCAATCGAGATTGTCTGCTCACTCTTGGATAGCTTAAAGTTTATGGTAAGCAAAGTTTCTTCTACTGAAAATCAACAGATCATTTTATGAAACCATACTAAACATTGATAATATAATAACACATAAAATGAGCTGTTTACATATTATGGAGCAACTCATAAACTTAGTATTAGAAATTAGATAAACTGGGTATTTAAGCTCATATTCATCAGTTGTTGTGAATGTGCAATAACTAAGCACACAGATGCACTTTATTAACTTAAGTAATAAAGTTTACTTTGAACCATAGTAATTTGGTCAATTATCTATCAAAACGGAGATGCTCCGAGGGCAGGAGACGAGAAAAGTGACCATTCGAATTTATTTTAATAATATATCCTCAATACAGAGAACACTACATGTTTAAAAATATGAATACGCGGTAATATATTGCCGCTGCCGTCATGTGGTACCTCTACAGTCACTGCTGTCATGTAGTAACTTTACTGCCGCAGCTGGCATGTGACACATCTACTGTCTCTGCTGGATTGTGGCATATGACGTTTATGAAACGGGCGACCCCAAGACGCAGTGATGCAGAGTTTCAAATTATATCCTTTCACTTCACTAATATGAGTAAGTTGTACTCCATCCGGGTCCTTATCGACACTGTACCAGCACACCTACTCTCGCTACAAAAATCTGTCTGGTGTGTTGAATTTTTTCCCTTGCCTTTCCAAAATATTTATTTTTACTTTCATTTATTTATTACACTAAAGCAATCACTATCGAAATTTACACTTACAATTAATTTAATTTAAATTTATACTTATATATATTTATTACATAACTTACATAAATGAATAATTTTATTCGTTCTTAGTTGTTTTTCTTTTTACAAATCGTCCTTTTTTTGTAATAACTAAGTGACGAGACGAACAAGTCGTGCACCTGATTGTAAGCTACACGCCTGTCCATAACAGTTGCAGTACCATTCTCTCGTTAGTTCTGACTGGAAACCGACGCTTATGGCACTTAGGTATAAGCTGAGTCAGAGCCATTTCGCTGCTGTGATAAATTTTATTTTTTCTTTTTTTGAATTTGTATTTGTGTCATATTAGTAAATAAAATGTTTATCTATCTATTTATTTCTTCGCTCAACCTTCTGCGAGAAGGTCCTATTCTGCTCATATTTTGCGCGGTGCCCATCTCCGTTTTTGTGAACAATTGACTTGAGCCTCGGTTCTGTAAATTAGTTTACACATAGGCGAGATTAGGCTCTCATCTAATACCACAGGCACTGCGAGTTTAGCTGGAACTTCGCGGTCGAATCGCTGTTTAACAGGGGCCCGCCCTACTCGCTATGGTTATACTTATTTATATGGTAGAATAAATAAGTATGGTAACTCCATACAAACGTAGCAGCGCAGATTGTATGTGTGCACGCCCGCCGCGCGCCGTGTACGGACGCACACATTCGAATAATAATGAAAGGCGCGTAGGACGACGAGCGCTATGTATCGACAGCGCATCTCGAGATTATTGTTACTACGTTTGTATGACGTTACTATACTTGTCATAATATACTGCCTACTTGGCCAGACAGTTACCATGCTGCACTGCCACCCAGAGGTCCCGGTTTCGATTCCCGGGCTGTACATACACGTAAATGTTGGTATGGTGTAATTTTGTGGTTGTCTACGTGTGTGTCCTTGGCACCCGTGATACAGGGTTTCGTATGTATGAGTGTGTGCGTTATATTGTATAACTACTGTCGAATCAAGTCACGTTGTCATACATTCTTGGTTCTAGCCCCGATTGAAACTCAACCATAGTGGGAAAACGGCCGTAACTACAAATTTCGTGATTCAGAGCCTAAATATCTGTAATGTAACTGTTTACAAAGTAAAAAAATCTCTCTAAGCAGTTTACAAAGTATACTCCTCACACTTGGCTGCTTAACACTGTGTGACCGTTTACTGTGTGTTTCAGCATTTTAATAAATAAGTGATGTTCGCATTTGAATACTTTATCTTTAGTATTCAGTTTATAATGTTATAATTTTGATTCTTTATTTTACTGGTTACATTGGCTATTATCTCGACCACATTTAATTTTATTGTTAGGTTACTTTTTTAATAGATGACATGAATTATTATTGTTGTTAGCAAAAGGCGCCATTCAGAAACTAAACATAATTTGGCAAATTTTACAAAATACAAACACTATTCAGGACCTCATTTTAGGTTTTGTCGGCCACTGGGCTAATTTTGCTCGGCGCCATGTTTTCGCTAACTAAATAAAAAACAATACTAAACTAAACCGACTCGTAAATTTTATAGCATCAACTCAAACCTTGTTGGAAATTATCTGATGTTTGTTTTTCGATAACTAATACCATAAATGGTTAAAGGAAAGTAGAGAAATGATGCGTCACTGTTCAACAGCATTTATTTGAGATCTGTATGCCTACTTACACATGATCTCATTCAGCCTATATATCCTAAAAGGCTCTGCTTACATATATTTTATACCCTTACACGTTCCACTTACTGGATCGTACTGTTATTTTGTTTCATAAAGAGATAAGTGATTTGGAATACTTGCTAATGACCCTTTTGCTAACTTTCATTGAGTTCAAAATCAATGTAAAAATACTATGTTACGCCATTCCGTCTGCCTCTTGGTTTTGGATCACACTCATAGTACATATTTGAAAATATTTTGTGGTAAATAAATATATCTTTTGTAATAACTACCTTAAGTCCACAATTACTGGATGATGCTTAGTACTTATAAGATTTTGCAGTTTGTAAATAGCTTTTGGAATTCAAAACTCAGAGGTCAGTCTTTATTGTTATTTATTTCTAAGGTTTTGGTCTTATTGATGTACAGTCGCTACTAAAAGTGTTTGTTAAGCTTCGCGTCGTTTAAATGAAGCCGCTGATGTCAAAAGAAGTTGTCATCGAAATTGGGTTTTCAGATTTTGAAAATAGAACGCAAATTATTGGTTGTATCATGTCCTGACCATACCTTTCTCAGTACCTAAGTACGTACCTAAATTAGGAACGCAACGGCTAACATAAGTAACTTGCCAATTTTTTTGTCTTTTTTTTTTTGTCTATTGTCTATTTCCTGTCTAATTCATGTAACTGGCATTGCGCAAACTTCTCATAGCGACGAAATAATAACACTTCACGTCTTTATCTGAAGCTCGTGTCTATTTATTCTATTAATAAGTTATATTCGTGTATAAAAAAGGCGGACTTACGACGATTACTAGAAAGTGTTCGCTGGTGAAAGCTGAGAAAGGTAAAGGTAGGTTCATAATTCATTTATTCATTGTTACATGTGGATTAAGAGAGGTGTTGCGTAATAGTGAACCAGTATTTGAACCCTGTAATGGCCCTGCAATGATAATAACTTATTTAATTGTTAATCTCGTACACAAGCTATGTTATTAATTTTACAATTATGAAATATATTAAAAGCAATATAAAAATCACGATAATTAACATTAAATTGCATAAATATAGTGAAGTTAAGCTGATACAATTTAATTTATCACCATACTAAAAAATCAGAAGGTTCATTTTCAGGTTACTGTTCTTACCTAATTTCAGTGGCAATTTTTATTATTTGAATATTCTACAATATTATCATGAACTATTATTTCTTATCAGTGTGTAGTATCTTGAAATATTATTTAATGTTTCATGATAATATGCTCCAATACTTAAATAATAAAAATTGCCACCGCAATTAGGCAGCTGAAAATTACTCAGTAGTAAATCACTTTTCGTAGCGACTATACAGTAAATTGGTTTACTTTATTGTCTTTTTAAATGTTTATTAAAGAAGCTACGATTTTTTATAATACAACATTGTAGCATTTGTATGTAAATTGCATGAAATCAATCATGGTATATTTTTATTAATCAACGTACTAACAAACACAAGGGCAATACAATTGGGCAGCTAGCAGAATTAAGTGGACTGGATAGTATGAAATAACTTGACTTATAATAGAACCAAGATTATTATTTAAGGTCCTTTACATTCTTTATACATATAAAGATGTCTACTAAAGCTAGCCTTACAATTTTGTTACCTGCCTCATTATATTGGTCCATGAATTTATGAAACGGGCGTTCACGCGATAGTGTTCGCTGCTTAACTTCTGTGGCAATTTTTGGTTAAAGTATATGAACAATCAAATACTTAAATAATAAAAATTACCACGGAAATTAGGCAGAGAATACTAACCCGAGAATGACCCTGAAGAGAATTTGCCAAAGATTAGCAATCTTTGACTTAACTAGTAATTTGATATTCATTACGTAATTTCTATGTGAATACTAAGATAGGAAGTTCTTAATAGTTAAATACAAGTAATGTATGATTTGTAAGAAATAGCAACAGACAAACATTGGGTACTAATCGGGCAAACTTAATTTAAAATCATAATTTTTAAATTAAGAACTGAACAAAGCGTTCATTCTAGTTCAAAGTTGTCAAATTAGTTAATCCATAAATATTAGGGGTTAAAGTATGAAATTGCCGTTTCGCACTGAAAAATTAAAACAATTTTTTTTAAGATTAAATATATTTGTTTAATCAAAGTTTTTTCCCTTGTTGTCTATACATTTCTGCCATGTAATCGGAAGGTCATTTAAACCTTTGCGATAGAAGTCTGGAGACCTGGACTCCACAGCTGTGTGAAGGGATTTTTGTACTGCTTCCTGGGAATTTTATTTCCATACAAAAAAAAATCAAATTGCGGGAAAAAATGGTAGTCGGTCGGGGCGAGGTCCGACGAATATGTGGGATGATGGATAATTTATATCTGCAGGTCTTGTAGTAGTAAAACTGTTTCTCAAGCAGTGTGAGGTGTTGCGTTACCATAGAGCAATAACGGTGAAGCTGTTTTGCTGCGAGTTCCGTCGTCATTATTCAAACGCCATATGTCATATTGTGGGTATGCTAACATTAAACCATGACGTTTCGTGGTAGTTTGATACGGATCGGCTTCCATCATTACCTTCAATTCAACGTTATTTACATTTGTGACTGGTCTTCCTCGTGGTTCTTTCTTCAAGTCGTAATTTGCCGTATTGCCGGCGTTTGCCGTATCCTCTCCAAATACAGCATTGACAGTTTCTGCTACGTTAACTCCATGTGGAAATTCGTATTCGAAAATTAGGTACTCAGATTTTCGCTGTATCTGTCTTCACGTTAAAAGCTGAATGTAAAAACAATTGAAAGTCGAACAATCAAATATCATGTTTTTTAAGTTAAGCATGTTTTACTTTTCGTGTGAAAAACGTTTCACTCTGAAATCGGACACCATACAGGTTTAATTTTAATTTAAAGTGGCCAGTAAAATAAATCGGCAATTTCATATTTAAACCCCTATTATTAGAAGAAATTTACTTCTGACATAAGTATAGTTGATTCAATATTAACTGATGTGTTCCCATTTGAATAAAAGCAATAGGGATAATAAACTTGACCCTCAAAAAACGATGTATCTTTAAAGAAGGAGTTTTGGTGCCATTTTGTTTCATAGTACGATGTAATAACCGACGTATTTTGATCCTTTTCAATATTTATAGAATCATTTAAAATGAGTTTATGTTGCAAGTTGTAGAAATAAAATGTTAGATTGTTTATAGACAAAATATACACAGTGTTTTTTCTAATGGGACAGTATGGGGAAACCCGAAACCATAGAAGATAGGAATGGAAGGGAACCGTCATAGATTATTAAGTCTTTTTTGTGAAAACAAATTTGGTTGTTTCTTAAAAAAAATTGTCATACAAAATGAATA